AGGGGGAGAGATTGCTTACTTTCTTTAAGCATAACTTAGAGTTTGTGGTATCAAAAAATCATTCGTCGACCTTTCAACGAGCACTGGCTTATATCTTCTTTTTGCTCTGCTTTTTTCAAAGAAAAAATCGAGCTTGCTGTTGGAAGCATAATTTGGAACGAACCAATACGATTGATAAGACAAAACTTTTCGGACAATACGGGGTTGTTTCAAACATTCCGGCAGCACTTTTTTTTCTTTAAACAAAAACTTTTGGCCGGGATCAGAATTCTGTCCAAGAGCGTTGATGTTTCAGAAAGAGATTACCGAGTGTGAAGGGTATGCTGCCAAGGACGCTGTTCATCATCGACAGGATGAATGTTGCGGCTGCTGCAGTGTGAGATCTGAAATGTGTCATTTTAAGAAAGTGCATAGAACTTTCAGAAGAAAAGCAGAAAATTGAATAAGAATTCAAAAAATTATGGGATGTCCACAGCCGGAGAGTCCGTTCACACCTTATAACTTAGGCGAACATAGAAGTTCGTGTATTTCTAGGATGGTAGTATTTTACCAAAGAGAAGGAGAGAAGTAGAAAAATGAGGAAAAGAACTTGGTGGCATATTTACTGTAATTGTGTACACATCATTTATTCCCGAATTATGCTCATTATTTAAAAAAAAAAAAGAAAAAAATTTGCTGAAAACTTGAAAAGGTAGCGGACACAGACTAGCTGAATGAGTATTTTTTATGTTGTGGATATTTTTGGCAAAAAAAAAAGACTGACCTCCGACTGTTGGCGTAGATTCCAGTGATGCCAGCTGTGAAAACGAGTACAGCGAAAATAAGTTCTATGCCGATGGCCCATTTAGAATCCCATAATATCCGTAACACTCCACAGCCAAAAATCACTAGTGAGCAAAGCACCTGCAAATGGACAATCACAAATCTAATATGTTTGCAGGAGTTTTTCTAACTTCTTGTAACTGTGAAAACACCGTAAAATCAATAGTTTAAACACTAAAATTCTTCTCCTCACAATAGGATCATTTCCGAGATCTAGAAAGGAGCGAGAGGCCTATTACGCCGATAAAAAAAAGAAGATTCGTTTTGCTTTTCGACCTTTATCCAGTCAATTCAGTGTACTCAAATTTATCATTCCTAGCCTCGTTCAGCTAACTCCTCAAAGAACCGAATTTTGCTTCTCCCTCACTAGAGGAATTGCCAGCACACTCTTATATTTTCGCGTTCTTCGCTAACAAGAAAAGACTGCGTTCGCTCACACAGACAGCTTTTGAATGAATTGAGCAACGCTTCAGCGAGCTACCGTATATCTTTGCCTATCGAAGACACATTGCTTTTCCAATTAGATGGGCGAAATCCGAAGCGATTACGAAATAAAAATAAAAACAACGCTATCGCGCATTCATATTTTAACAAATTGAAGAGTGCAGTTGCACTGCAGCAAGTATTATAAACGAGCCTGAAAAACAGAAAGCAGCGACAGTGCATCGAAATAGACGATATCTTTGGCTGGCTTCAAAATATCTTCTTCAGATATTTGGGGCATAGCACTGGGCTCGCCCGCCCCATAAACAGAGTGCTGTCGTGTAAGAAAATCGCTTGCCATTCCTGGAGCTCCAACTAGCATCGATGATGCTGGCCGACTGCTTCCTACAGCACCCTGAAAAAGATTCATTTTAATCAAATTTGCCAAATTTTGTTTCACCTTTCTTCACTGAATCTTTTTCATGCAAGCTCTTCCGAATGCACCACTGCAGTGTAGTAGCGATAACCGGCTAGTAGTTGCTGGAGCTCTGACAGTAAATTTTCTACATTTCCTCTCATCAAAGTGCGATGGCGCAGATTTTTGTTAACGTCGCTGGCGGAAGATATTGAAACAAAAACAAAGGCATCAAATAAGCAGAAAGGGAAACACTGAAAATACAGATCTGTAGAACACAACGCGGTGCGCAGCAAATGAGGGACCAAATGAAATGAGCGATAGCTAGGATCCTAAAAAAGCAATTTTGCTTTCTCTTGCATCTCGACGCAGTGAGCGTCAAAAATTTGGTTTCAGCTTAATTCCCAAAAAACGCTCGTAGCATACATGCAGTTCGCTACCCACGATTAGGCTATACATT